AGGGACCTGTCTACGGTGAAACTGATCCAAATGTGGAGGCCAATTTGCTGGGTAAGAATTCATGGAATATTTAAATTTTCTTCTACGTTTCCTTCTGTGGGCTTTGGCTTGGCTTTGGCTTTGGCTTTGGCTTTGGCTTTGGCTTTGGCTTTGGCTTTGGCTTGGCTGTGTGGTGGTGGGGGCAAGATTCCTTCAACCTCATTAGCCTTGTGGAGGAGATAATTTGGGAAACGTAGCTTGATGGTCAAGGATCAGGAAAGCTATAACTGAATTCTGGAAGAACTCTATGCTCTTCTTTCATCTGAGTAAAACTTTGGGTTTTGGTGTATCTTAATCACAGCCATCTTTGTATCTCTGTGAAGGAGAGGAATGGTTTCTAAATTTGATAAATCCAGATAGTCCTTGACTTACAACAGTTTGTTTAGTGACCGTTTGAAGCTACAAAGAGCCCTGAAAAAAGTGACTTATGACCATTTTTCACACTTATAATCATTGCACCATCCCTGTATATTTGGATGCTTGAATGCTCACATTTATGACGGCTGCAGTGTCCCAGAATCATGTGATCCTGTTTTGCAACCTTCTTAACAAACAAAGTCAATAGGGAAACCAGATTCACTTAACAAGGTGTTACTAATTTAACAATTCCACTTAACAAAGGTGGCAAGAAAAGTCGTAAAATGGGGCAAAAGTCACTTGACAAAATTCGCACTTTACTACATAAATTTTGGACTCAATTATGGTTGTAAGTTGAGGAGCACCTGTAAATACAAAATACAAGCATGCCTTTATGATCCGAAGCTTTGTGATCATAATCTTTCTCAACAGGGCCCAGCAACGACTATTTACAAAATGCCTCTTTAGAAATAGGAGAGACAGAATTGTTCTATTTTGAAATTGCCTATTGAAATCCTTTATGTTCTTTGTAGGCAATGGACCGAAATACCCAAGTCCCTCTCCTTTGCCATTTCCTGAAGGAGAAGAAGTGGGCCAGACTGGTGGGAAAGAGGTATGGGTCATGATAAGCTGATGGTAAATCAGCACTCCTGTTGACTCACAAAGGCCCCCATTTCCCAGGCTTCAATCATTTCCCAGGCTATTTTTGTACCTGCTTGGCCAACAATCTTAGTAGCTGCAAAATTTAATACATGTCCTTGTTCATTGCAATGTGAGACTACTAATGAATTTGGGCCTTCTCTGACTGCTCACTTGTGTTCTTGCAGTCTGATGGTTAGCTGCCTCCCTGTCTATCCTACAGAGTCACGGGGGCAATCCATGCAGGGGATCCAGTCGATTACATGAGAAGTGTCTCCCACCTGCAAGCAATCTTTGAAATGCATGTCCTCGTATGGTAGCCTCTGGGCGGTGTGCGATGCCCACAACACGAGGCCAGGTGCTTTAAGGAAACCTACAGTTTTGCTTTAACACCGTTTCTTCTGTATAATCTGCTAGGAGAAGAGTGATTAGTTTTGCTTGGTGTTCAGTGGACCTCGAGGAAAACTAAACTGTTCCCACAACATTTACTGAAGGAGTATTGAGGTCTCTCTCTCTTTTCAGGGATCCAAGGATATCAAGGAAACTGGAGGGTCTTTGCAGATCGTAAAGCAGAGCGTGACCCAGCCAGGCCAGCAGACTATGCTGTGGCACGTCCTGCAGGAAGAGGATGACACAAATACGGATATTTTGGGTGAGGAAGTTGTCTTCTTGGCTCCAGAAACACAAGTTGATCCAAGCTGCTCTTTTTAGAATGGAGAGAGTTAATAGAAATTTGGAGTTTGTTTTCTAGCGAGAACATTAAAACGGGCAAGATCAAAAGCAAAGGCCCTGATGAGACCAAACTAATCTCTTATAGAAGTGGGGTCAAACTCAAGGCCTGTGAGCCAGATTTGGCCCACGGGGCTGGCCTGGGAACAGCAAAGGACTGGCCTGCAGTGCCTCTGCCAGCAAAAATGGAGCTGGGGTGTGTGTGCGTGTGGCCCTCCCGGGCTCAGTTTTCAGCCATGACTGCAGCCTTCTGCCAGCGAAAACAGAGCTCAGTGCGCCCGCCCCCCCAGCTCCATTTCACTGGCAGAAGGCTAGCAAAACAAACTAAAAGCAAAACTAAAGCAGAAATGTTTCCCCTTTTTCATTTGAGCCTGCAAGAAGGGACAGGAAAGGAGAAAGAGGAAAGACAAAGAAAAAGAAGGAAAGATGGGAAGAGCCCAAGGAAGGGAAAATAAGGAAAGCAGGGAAGGAAGAAGAAAGGAGAATGAGGAGAGAAGGAAAAAGAAAAGGAAGGAAGGAAGGTTAGAATGAGAGTGAGGGAGGGTCTGAGGGAAGTCCTGCCTTAGCACTTGGCCACCACAGGTGCCCCCGGCACGAGTGATGTCAAGCTGGCCACGGCCACCCCCACCCCTGGCCACCTCCACCCGGCCCTCCAAGATCAAACACAACCCTGATGCGGACCTCAGTGAAATTGAGTTTGACAGCCCTGTCTTATGGTAACATTGAGAGGTGTCGGCTGCTCTTCACCCAAAATAAATGCTCCCCCCCCCCCAGTCCATCAAAACACAGATGGGAGAAAAAGATGCCAGATGGCTCAAATCTTGCAGGTTGCCATTGCTGGTTTTCTTCCTTCATACGAATTGCCTTTCTAATGTTTGTATTGCTACCTTTATAAGGAAAGTGAATCTTGCCTGCCTACCCTCCTTGTTTCATTACAGGTCAGGATGAAACCTGACACTTAAGTGGATTGTCCTTCTGCCCCAATTCCTCTGTCTAATATACATATTTCTCTGCTGTTCAGCTTGGTAAAACTCTTTGACAGCTTCAGAGAAGATAAAATGTGAGCAGAGTAACTTTCACTCATTCTCTTTAACCTTCTTATGAAAAGGTTGGTGTTGGGAAAATAAGAGGCAGGGACATTAGTATGCCACCTTGAGGTGTACAAAATAAAGCAGATTATAAATCTAGCGGTAAATAAATAATTTTTTAAAAGGAACCAATGGCAAGAATGGTCAAATGAGCTGGTGCCTAAATTTTGAATCCCTGTTCAAATAACACTGCCTGGATCACCTCATGGAAGGATAATTGGAAAGCTATGGGATATATAGATAGTCCTCATCTTATGACCACAATTGAGCCCCAAATTTCTGTTGTTAAGTGAGAAATTTGTTGAGTGTGATTTGTCCTATTTTATGACCTTTCTTGCCTCAGCCGTTAAGTGAATCACTGCAATTAATAATGCAGCTGTTAAGTGAGTCTGATTTCCCCATTGACTTTTCATGTCAGAAGACCGCAAAAGGAGATCACTTGATTCTGGGAATCACATGACCCCTGCAATGGTCATAAATATGAACCAGTTACCAAGAGTCTGAATTTTGATCACATGATCATGGAGGTGTAATGGTCGTAACTCTGAAAAAAAGTGATAAGTCACTTTTTTCAGTGTCATCGTAATTGAACGGTCACTAAATGAACTGTTATGAGTAGTACCTGCACCTCCAAAAGAGGCATGTGGTGGACGTGAGAGACAACTTCTTCCTTGGGGTCCGTGTCTCCGTCACTTATTATTATGTTGTGATTTTTGGGCATTGAGGAATGGCATCCAATTGAGAGAGTGGCACGGTCTCTCCCAGATTTTCAGAATGTTTCTGGGGGAGCTAAGGGTTCAGGAAATGTAGCCTTTGGTGCTCAAATCTTCCTACAGTAATGGAGAAGTTTGGACATTCCCTCATGTATATATGATGGGAGGGTTCCGTTCTTGCAGGAGAAGGAGTGGCAGAATGCTGGGTGGAGTCAAAAGAGGAATCAGCCTAGAGTCTGAACGTAGCCACAAGAGACTAAATCCAACCCCTCTTGAATTCCATTGACCCTATTTTAATCCCAAGATGTTGCTAATCGTTAGTTGAGTAGATTCCTGTGCATAGGCATGATTAGTAATAAGTCAGTTTAATCAGAATTACTGGCCCTTCACACCTGACAGTTCTCTTATTATTAATGGCTCAGAGCTTCTCCTTGAATTCTATAGAGAGCTTATTGTACATAGTCAATGGATGTCTGGATCAGAAGGCTCCACTGTTTCTTGTGTCCAAGGATGGCTACTCCTTCACCCACCATTTTTTCCTCTCCACTATATTCCTAACTCCAGTTTTGAGGAACTTAGAGGTCTTTGCAGTTTCTTCCACAAATAAATATGGGGCATGATCCAAAGGGTGTCTGGATTTCCATTGACCTCTCCCCAGGGTCAACCACCTGGCTCCTGTCATCCAGTAGAGCATTTGGTCTGGCCAAGAGCTGGTCCAGGGAGGTTTGGTGGGAACCTCCTCATTGTTTGCCAAACGCCTTCAGGTCTTTTGTTCTTGACTGAGGAGCTGGGGGGGGGGGGGGCTCTTGGCAGAGACGTTGGATAGTCATCGCAGGCCCAGAGATCGTCCTGTTTTCTTCCTGGGGTGGATTTCTCTGTCCTCGTTTGGAAAGGCCATATTGTTCTTGGCGCAAAGGAGGCGATTGCAGGAGTGCCATATGTCTCTCAGATTGAACTGCGGAGGCATTCAGGGCTCTTTTCCTGCCTGAAAAACAAGTAGAATTGAGCCATTTGATGGAGAAAATAAAGAAATTCAGATTTCTTCCTACAGAAGTCTGTCTCCCTAATCTTTCCCTAATGTGGGTTAATGAGGGTCTCGGGAAGAGACAAGGAAATTTTCCTCTGAGACATTTGAAGACATTTGGTTGCCAGGATCTAATAAAGATGTGGAGACTCTAGAAAGAGTGCAGAGAAGACCAACAAAGATGATTAGGGGACTGGAGACTAAAACATATGAAGAATGGTTGCAGGAACTGGGTATGTCTAGTGTTATAACCCAGCAACAACCTGTGTTGC